CAAAATTAATAATTGTGTTTATTGAAATGTATAAAGTTTTTGTTTTGTCTGCGGGTTTTGCACAATTGGTAAAAAAATATCAGGCTCAAAAAAAGATTTTGAGGACTTTTTTTATGCTGAATTTGAACATGTTTCCTTTTTTTTCACAAAATAAAACTTTTAAAACATCTTTCAAGGAGTTTTGAGAAAAAAAATTACCTTAATTCTTTTAACATTAATTTTTGACCAAAAATCTGATTCAATTTGACTTGAGTTTTATGCCTGAAGTTGAAAACTTTTTTTGAAAATTTGTAATCTCCTTACTACCAGTACATTAAATTAAATTGACTTAAATTAAATTAATTTAAATTAACTTAAAACTCTAAGTTGGCCTCGGAAGGATACCACTGAAAAGTTGTTTCCACAATATAGCAATCGAGATACATAGCTTTATTTGATCAAAAATTGTGCTTCTCAAGTTTGTCCCCATCAACTAAAAAATTGAAACAACTTGTACAGTGCTGATTTAATTTATTCGGACAAAATAAATAAAACTTGAATTTTTGAACGCGTTTTTCTCAAGTTGGGTTAAGATTAGACAGAAAACGAAGAGAACAAAATTTGATTAGAATTTCATCCGAATTATTATGATGCAATTTTTTCTCCGAACATTTTAACTAAAATTTTGCCCCAAAAATTGGTCATTTTGGTTTTTTTTCAATTAATCAAAAAAATTTGCTGAAACTACTTTGTTTATTGTTGAACATATCACAAGAAGCCTCTTACACAGCCCAACAAAATTTCAGGAAGGTAAGTTCTCCAAAAATTTGACTAAACTTCTAAATTATTTAAAATTTGATTTTAAGCAAAGATTTTGTTGGATTTTATTTAGTGAAAATCCTTTTTCTTGACTATCGAGCAAAAATATTTTCTCTTATACTAATTTTTGGAGGTTTAAACCTGCTAAAACTTTCATTTCGCTGTATAAAACGCTTCTTGTGATATGTTTTTTTCATCAATTAACAAAGTACTTTTAGCGTAAATTCCTGATTAATTGAAAAAAGTTAAAATGACACATTTTTGGTGTAAAATTTTAATTCAGAATTTCGGAGAAAAAAATGCATCATACTAATTCATATGAAATTCTAAGCAAATTTTGTTCTCTTCACGCTTTTCTAATTTTAACCCATTTGAGAAAAACGTGTTTGAAAATTCAAGTTTTGTTCGTTGTGTCCGGATAATTTAAATCAGCACTGTATTGGTTTTCCACCTCGCGGCTAAAGAGATGCCAATTTGAATTTCAATAAAACACTATTTGAATCTTTTGCCAATAGTACTGGAGAGTCGCATAGGCCGTGTAGCAACCCTGATTTTAATTAGAAAAATATATTTTTTTTCAGTCTCAAGTTTATTAAGCGAGAAAAGTTCAGCAGAGAAAACTCACAATTATTTCCTCTGTAGTTCCGTCGAAAACACAATGCAATTTTGTTTTCAGCATTCATTGATAATACAACAAAAAAATATATATTCGAAAAGACGTGAAAAGATTGTCAGTAAAATTGAAAAGTTTTGGATAACAGATGTCTGCGATGAAAAAAGGTGTTGAAATGAACCAAAGATACCAAGTTTTCCTAGTGTGCAATTTCCGTGGTCAAAATTTTAATACCACGTCAAAGCTTCAATAAAAGAGCTATTATACAAAAAACAATGCCTTAAAATGCTCCATTCAACTCATTCAAGAATTCATTTTTTAATAATCAAACTATCCATTCTTTTTCTTTGAAAAAATTTCTAGATCCTCGCTAATTACAGAATTAAAATCCCAATTGAATTTGTAATGACGTCAAAACTTTCTGAGGGCAGAAAAGTAATTTGTGTAAGTTTATAAAGTAGAAGAAAAAGTAAAATTGTAGAATGGAGCATATGTGAAATAAAATCAATTTTTTGAACAAAAAGTAAAACATAAACTGTCTGTGACCACTTACCGTAAGGATGTAAATTGTTATAGTTTAGAGCAACTTGATGGAAGTTTTTTCAATTATTTTTTTCAAATTACAAAAATCAAAAAACAAACAACAAAAGAGAGAATTTTTTAAACAAATTTGAAATTTTTTGAGAGTGTTTGCTCCAAAAATTCAGTCAAACTTAGTCAAACATAGTGTTTATTGGCGCTGAAATATTCTGTTGGCATGTCAAACAAAAAGATGATCAAAAAACCAGTGAAACCGAAACAAAATTTGTGAAAAATATATGTTAAGAAAGTGAAACTTTCAATGATGAGAACAACACAAGTACAATTTTTGGTTCGTTTTGAGCTAATATATCAGAAGCCTCATTTTACAGTTTTAAATCCAAGCTTTTCAAGTACTCTTTTCTCATAACGAGCAATTGCAATATTTGGCGGAGCAATAAAAAAACAGCCAAAAATTCTAATCAGTTTCGTTAGGTAGGCCACAATTGAAAAAATCTCAGTACTAATTGTTGTTCTCAGCAAAAAAAATAAAATGTGTGTCACAAAATACGGGAGAATTTTTCTAAAAAATAAAAAAATAAAGTTTTTTTCTGAGAAACTTCGTATTTTTTTGTGAAAACTCATATCACATCTATGAAAGAGCCTTTAAGATTTTGTTTTGATAGAAGCAATCTTATTTTTTAATGTTGACGGCATTTGACAAAATGTTGCAAATTAGTAAAATTTGATGTAATTTTGATGCATTTTTAATCTGAATTTATCACAAAAAATTGAAAGTTTTTTTAACAAGTTTGAAGCAAAATTTCTATCCCAAAATTTTTTTATGCCTTCAAAGTTTCAGTTGTATCAGAACAAAAACTTTAAATTTTGAGTTAAAAAGGTATCGAGCAATTAAATTGATATTTTTAATTTTAGATATCGTAGCATAGAAGAGTGTATTTCATAATGAAAAAACTCTTCTTCGCTTGAAATAAATTGTTCAAAATATCAGAAGGCTACCTTTATGTTCCGTATTATAGATTTCTGTATCCCATAATTAATTAGAAAACGTTTCTTTCACTTTAAAATTTTTTAAATAAAAAGCTTTGGAAAATGGAAGAAAGCTACTTTTATGATCCGATATTTTCACGAAGTGCGCACAAACTATGGTGTAGCTTGTAATTTTTTGCCCAGCTTTGACTATTCCAGGATTATAAAACCTAATTTCAAAACATTGTCAGATTTTTGTTTAAAAAAATAACTGATTTTCCACGTTTTTGAGACTGAATGGAACAACAGTTACAACATCATGAATTCTGAAGGTATTTTTTTTGTGATTTTAATATTTGTCTAGCTGTTATTACATCAGGTTCAGCAGGTTTTCAACAGGAGATTAAAAGTAACACATTTTTTGAGGAAAAACTGAAAAAAAAATGCGTTCAATTATCAATTTTTGTCTGTTTTTTAAGTTTTTTCACCACAACAGTGGTGGTCGGAAGACTTTGTGCAACTAACAGAGTTCTTGCCTATCCTGTTGTTTAATTATGAGAGGCTTTCAATGATATGGATTTTTATAACGCTTACGCTTTAAAAATTTTGCTGGCCGTTTATTTATCTACTGATGTTGTGTTGGCTTAGTTGCCAAATCTGTTAGTTTTTTTTAAATCGCACTTTTTTATTTTAACTTTCTTTTAATACTTTGATTTACTCCTGCAATTTGTGTTTTAACTAACATTTACTTCGTATGTTCCCTTATCTCGGTTTAATAATTAATTTGGCTCAAACTATTTTGGCTTTTATTTCATCGGCTCAGTGACCTAATTTTAGGACAACTCATGAAAAACATAGTGTTTAAGCTACCCTATGGATCGCATATATTGCTAAAAAAAATTTTGAGTAGAACTTACAGATCAAAAATTCCTCACTGCAAAAATTTTAAATTTTGTTTTCGGATCTACGGGATTTTACTACAGTTTTATCGGCTCAGTTGCCGCTTGACAAATGTTTCTCTTTATTTTTTTTTAATTTCCTCGATTGTGTTTCTGAACGTATTTGCCGCAATTATAACATCATTCCAGACATTATTTTGACTTTTTTAGAACAAGTTTTTTCGAAATTTTTTCAATCGTTTTGGACTTAGTGGCTTTCTTTTTCTTTCATGTCTGCTAGCTTGCAATGTTATATTTATAAGGTGTCGTAAGGTGTCGCAAGTGTTAAAAAAAAGAACTGTTTATGAGTAAGAGAAACTGTTTAACACAGTCCTAGTGCTGTGAACGACACTATCAGAAGTATTTTTCAATCAGATTGGATGAACATTTATAGAGTCAATTTTAGAACTTTTTCTGAGCAACCGTCCTTCAAAGTTTTGCGTTTTATATTAAGACTATAAACGAGTAAATAGTAAACAAGACTGCTCGTATATCAAGGCAAAGCCCAGAACTTTTCGACTGCTCCTTAACTGGTCTCGAATAGTTTTCATTCAACATTTTTTTCGATCAGCTATTTTCTTTTAACTTCAAATATCAAATGCAAGAGCTAACATATGAGTAGACTTCATGTGACTGTTTATATTGGCCTCAATTGAGTTTGGAACGATTATGAGTGCAGATAAATAGCTACGCATAAATAGTTTGCATATTAAAACTATAAAACTATTAATCCAGCAGCGATGTCATCGGCATTTTAGTCTAGATTTAAGCAATCCAAAAACTTCCGGATCGATGCCTAAACGCTGTCAACTTTTGTTAAACTGGTCTGAATTTGCAAAAAAAACACCCTAGGATTATATATTCGAAAGTCGGAACAATAAGGTGTCAAAAACGGGTCCGTGATTTCAAAAGTTTTGGTCCGTCATTTTTTTTCTAATATTTACGACTACATATTGTGGCATAATAGAGGGCTCTGAAATTATAAAAGATGTGTTGAAAATTGCGAGAAAACGTCCAGTATTTTTGGCAATCAACTTCAAGCAAAGTTCTCTGCGATCAAAAATATCAGTTTATTGACAAACTGAACTAATGACAATGACACTGATGAAAAAATATTAATGATCAAACTAAAGCCGACTTACTTTTCAGCAGTTGAGAGAAGAGTGGTAAAGTTTTTAACTAATTAGAGATTTAACTGTTTATCAACTAAAGCTATGAACATTCAAAGGTCAAAGTTCACGGTCAATAAAATTAATAGCGAAATAATTATCAAACGGACTCTTGTTTCAGTTTTGCATAATAATTTCAATGTAAGTCGTAGATTTTGGGTTCATTCATCGAGATCGTGGGGTATTATTTTAATTTCAGGATCTCTGCTTGAATCAATTTTGCAAAGTTTCACATTCGGCAATAAATGTGTCACCAAATAAAAAGCCTTTTGTCGTGACGCGTCAACGAATGATTTAAGTCGACGTCTATTTAATCTGTTTTGTAAAATAGCAAAAAATAAAGCAAAGTAAGGACCGCTTTGTTTGAAGTTATAACTATTTGTAACAAAACTGATAAAAATACTCCATAAACTGAAGTTTATGAAGAGTTATACCAACTTTGAGAATCCATTGTTGTCAGAATGATGGAATTGGTTTCAAATGTAACTCAAATCACGAAATGTTAAAACGCGAAATGTAAAATTAGGTCCAAAATATGAGTTCTCCTGAAATAAAATGACGGTAACCCGTTAATATAGTTAACATTTACCACTTCCCAGAAATGAGATTGAGGGCACAAAAATAATATGTAACGGTGCTGACGCAAGAAAATTTCAACCCTTCGGTGAAATAAAGGAAAGGTTGGAGATTATAATATTTGATTCACACACCAATTTCAGAGCATGTGTGAAATAAAGAATGTAAGGAACTTATTTGACTTGAAAGCTAAAAATACATCATCGATTCTGAGTTGGTTAAACTCTAATTACATCGCTATTACTCTAAAAAGAGGCGGAGCGTAGATTGAATTTTTGTTCAGGCATCATCACGCAAACTCACTTTAACTGAAAAAGAGGAAAATGCGATCGGATTTCTAGCAAGCGGGTTAGGAGTAAAATATCAAAGGATCGTAACAAGAAAGCTATTCCACCAAATGCGCTAAATTTGTTTTATGCTACTTGGTGTATACCAGAGGAAATGTAATGCAGCTCTATTCATTTTTTTCAGTGCTGAAACGAAACAAATGACGTGTTGATTTTTAATGGAGGAGTTAATTTTTAATGTGTGGAAACAAAAAGAACAGAAGCCTAATTTTTAGTTTTTTCTTATTTGATTTTACGACATTCCAAATAGGTAAGTTTGGAGATGAAGTCGCCAGCTGCACCGAAAATAACCGAAATCTTTATTCAAATTTAGACTAAATTGACTCTAAAAATAAACAACCACTTAAGTCAATTTATGTCACAAAAGACCTTCTGTTTTCAGTATATTGCGTCATCTTCACATAAAAAAATGATGTGCGTTTCTTTTTAGCTTTAGTTGTTAGTTTTTTTGCCGATGAGGAATTAAGAAAAAATAATGCAATCTTTTTTACTTTTGATAATTTTTTTGATAATATTAAAAGAGCGCCTGAAATATAATGGTTGATTTTAAAAATGAGAACTCTGTTTGCTTGAGCTCTTAGCGGACCAGGAAATAAAAATTCGGGCCAGGAAATTTGGGTGTGGATTTAGGGAACGGATTTAGACGTAGGCCCAAATTTGACGTATTAGAACCACGAAGGGTTTTATATTATAACTTATAACACAATGACACTGGTTAAAACTTCGAGGAACACCTAAAACATGGAATGTAAACTAAGTTGTTAACAAGCGCGTAGGCTTTCGAAAAATTTGTTCCATATGAAAGTTGGGAAGAAAACACAAAATTTCAAAGAGAGAATTCAAGAAAGTACCAAAGTATGCATGGATTCACAGGGCCTAAAATATATTCTATAAAGCGTTTCTTACAAATTTCAGCGAAATGGGTTATGGCTGGTTTAAGCGTTAAGAGAACTTCAAAAGAACTCAAGATAGGTTTCAAAGTTAAACCTGCGAAAGTTTAAACAGCAGCGCGTCACACGAGCAGTTAAACGCATATAACATGGTATGTAAGATGGTTGTATGCAAGGTAAACTTTTCAAATACCGACTCTAGCTAGTATAGTATTTGATTGTAGATTGTAGCACGTCTAACTGAAAGGAAAGGCCTTAGCCAATATAGTACCATGCCAAGCAAAAAGGAGTCAACTCAGAATTCAGTGCTATTTCAATAACAGCACGTATATTTCAGCCTTTTGGCAATCACACAAGTTAGTACGGACGGCGGATTAAGGGAATTTGGCCGGGTGAAAGGGACCGCTAATCTGATATTAGAATATGGGATCGCTCTTGCTTGATTTGAAATCCAACTGCTTCAATCGAAAAACACTACATCAAAAAGCTTCTCACAAGTCATAATTGTACATTAAGCAGACAGGTGTGAAAACAGATTAAGGAGATCATAAATTTTGAGCTCCGCATTATAATATAGCATAAAAAAATTGCAAGCATTTTTCGATATTTTTCACAACAAAAGGTTTAATCAAAAATTGAAATACTTAAATCAAGGTGAATCATTTCGAATATTTAAACCATCGTCTTAATAAACTGACATTTTTTTTGTTCATTAACAAGAAGAAAAAGTAGCTGAAAGGCAAGACGATAACTGGCGGTTATAAACCAGAAACAGATAAAAAATATTCAAGTAAATCAGCAAAACTCGCGGTAATTGCTATATTGACTGATTCTATCAAATAAAAAACTATGCAGGAACATTCCTATTCCTACTACCCATTAAAATTTTGGTCAGTAGCTTTTGATGAACCATTTTATATTCAATGCTTCAATTTCAGCATAAAACTTCTGGGTTCAAAGTTTTATTAAGCTCAGGTTTTTAGGTTTTTGCATCTGGAAATTAATAATTGATACCAAGTGGCCGATTCTAAGATGATTTATCCACAAGGGAAAGGACCAACATATAAGCTGTTCAGCTCTTCTTGGAGAGCCGCTGTTGTGCCCCTTGTTAAGATCTACATGCATGTTTTCCTGGGATTGGTAATGTTGCCTCACCCTCAAGCAATGAGTACGGTTCATGGTGGGCCTCGAACCTCTGACCTCTCTATTGAGAAGCGGAGACGCTACCACTTCATCGCCGTTCCCTGAACCGGCTCTTCAACCAAACTTTGAAGATCCAGTGTAATTTTTATTAGAAACTAGTTTTGATGGGAGTTTGTCATATTACCTGAATCTATTGTTATCCTGAGCTCAAATATGAAAAGATACTTGAGCTGCAATCAATTTGGAAAATTTAGAAAAATTGAAAATTGCTTTGTGACCATCTTAGGGCCATAACGTGCGAAACATTGTGAGATAGCATACGACAATTTTTTCAGCGCCAATTTTAAGAAACGATTTTTTTGTTTTTGTTTTGTTTTGTTGTGCTGTCTTTTTATAATATTTTAATTGTGGTTCTTATAAATGCGTGCTATTATTTAAAAGCACTGGATTTGGAAAGTCCAGAATGTTCCGAACGCATTTCAAGCTATGAGAAAAGTGTGTGCCTTAAAAAATTGTAAAATGGTTAGAAATTTTTTTTCTTTTCTATTTTTTATTTCGAAAACCATCCTCTTTCCAGAAACGTTATGTAAAGTACAAAGCAATATGTTTCGCATACATCATGTTAAAAATTTTACTAAAAATGCTCAACTTTTTTTCCTAATTCCCTCCCCCCCCCCCACACACACACACAAAAAGATTTGTATTGCAATAGCAACGTTTTAATTACACTAAAACACCAAATACCAAATACTAAATAGCAATTTCAAACCATTTTTTTGACGGATTTAATTTCAATTTACGCAATAGCAGCACAAAATAAATCGCGTGATAACTTTCCCAATTTGCCAATTTAGCGATATTCAAACCCCCAATGATCTAGAAAAAATTATCGCAAGTTAATTGCTTTTTTTAAATTTGAGCTCAAAACAACAATACCTTTTGAATGATGGAAAAACAAATAATCCGTCACTTTCTACAAAATAAACGTAAAAAATTTGCAGTTTTTTTGGTTAAAAAAACTAAAAATTGTATCATACGATTATCACATATGGAAAGATGCTAGTCAAAGAATTTTACTTGTTTTAATTAAGAAAATGTATGGGAAAACGTTTGAGAAATAAACGGCAAGAATCATTTTTAATATGTGCCCTGATCCATTGAGCACTAAAATTAAACACGACTGCTCGTACCAGGGCGAAACCCTGATTGTTCCGACTGCTTTTCAATGTCTACTGCTTTTCAAGGTTGTAAAAATCATCCCTCCACACACGATATTAGGTACAAAATGATATATTTCGTTCCTACTATCAAATAAATGTTGACAAATGAGCATCCTTCAACCAATTTTGAACTATTTCTAAGACGGATCAAATTTCCGCTTTAGCGTTATTAGTGTGAAATGGCAATCTTCAAACCCCCATAACTTTACGAAACTTAATCAGAGGTGAAATACCTTTTCAAATTTAAGCTCAGGACAACAATACCTTTCGGATGATAAAAATTTTTTTGTCATAAATGGCTAGTTTAAAAGTCGAAATTTGTCTGGAGAAAAAAAACCAACCCAAGCACAAATATTCCGTTGCTTCCGTTACGAAAGTCGGAATAATTACAAAAAAAGATCAACCGCCAACTTTGGTAAAAGTAAAGAAAGAGAAAAACGAAATCGAAATGATTCGTTTGCTATCATAAAACTCTTTTATTGGCTCGATTTTGGCTCGTGACTTGCCAATTTAGTTTTTGAATTCAAGATGGCGTTTTTCAACAAGAGCTATTTTTTGCGGTTTGTAGGAAAAATAGTTGCTAATAACAGTATTCCCCGACATTTATAAGAAAAAAATTCAATATAACAATACACTACCTTAATTTTTGCGATATTATGAAACAGTTTATACGATCCATTTGTTGAATAATATGTGAATGACCATTCAAACTTCTTCCACATGATATCTTAAAAATATCGATAGTAGGGGATTCTAAAATTAAAAACTGGTCGCTTGTCAAGACTTATTCTATTTGATTGTAGGTCAGAAAACCCTAAAAAATTAATGACAGAGCTATTTTTTCACGCAACCCCAAAACCTTAAATTAAGCTCGCTTTAAATTTGAAGCATGATTTTTTTCAGTTTGAACTCTTTTCCAGTTTTGACCCTTACAGCTGTGACTTTGATTCCAAAAACTTTTTGCTGAGAAAACTAGTGTTGAGAAAAACAAATTTGCGTATTTTTTTTTCAAGGTATTTTGCTTCTCTAGGATTGCATTTATCCCATTTGAGTTACTCCGATTAATTTGTTCATACGACTTCTATCACTTCAAACAAAATTAATCGCTTTTAATTTTTTCTGCTTTTAATAGGTTTCTCTCACTTTGCAAAAACAGGCAGTTCCATGAAACTTTTTTTCCGAACACTTTTTTTGCGGTTGCAATTGCCGTGGTTGCAATTTTCTATGCTACTTACACTAAAATTGGTTGTCTTTAGGATTTTGATCAAATTAAAGCTGAGCGTTTGAGCAAAATGGTTAACTGTTTTTATCTGTAACTTTTTCTCGAAAGTCAAAATGCCAAAACAACTAACTTTGCTATCTGTATTTTCCTTGAGTTTCAAACATTCAAACAAAACGTTCTGTCTGAGTTATCATTTCAAAATCTACTCGCGAAACTTGAAAAAAAACCTGTTAAAACATTGCTTACAATCTTTTGTTTCAAAAGCAGTGGTAGGAAATTTATGTATCATTGGAATAGCTATTTTCTACTCTTTTTGTAACTTCGGCAGTTTTTTGGATAAAACACCAAAAGGCTTTTGGATTTCATATTTGTGCAAACTTTGATCCACCTCTAAACCAAGGTCATTAAAAACTTGAGCGAAAATTGAGTAAAATTTCATTTTGAAGAAGACAATATGAAACTCAACTCTGAGAGATTACCCGTGTTGACCAAAAATGCTTATCATACAATTCTCATAAATGGAAAACTTTTTTCATACAATTCCATACGTACAGAAAATTGTATGAAATGTCTATAATAAACATTTTCCCATAAATGGAAATTGTATGATAGGGGTGTTCTCCATAAACCAAAAAGTTGTTTTTTGTTGCTACATTTGTTTTCTGACGGTTGTGTTTGCAATTTACGGTTGTGTTTGCAACCGAGCACAAGTGACAAAGACCTTGGTTACTCAAAGCACCAAAGGTTGGACGGTCTTGCATTTACAATGCATGAAAAACGACCTGAATTGTCTTCGAGCTGTCTTTCACAAATTATATGACAAAAGTAACAAACTTTTACTTTTCAGCAAAACTTTTCAATGATGATTATTTTAAAATTTTGAATTTTCAAATTATCAGACATTGATCAAGCATACAAAAACACGCCATACAAAAGAAATAAAAATTTTCAGTGTTTTTGAAAAAAAAATTTAGATGAAAAGAAAAAAAGTCAATATTATTGTGTCTAAGACTACGTTATGCACAAAAAAATTAATTCTTGCATGAAAAAAAAATTTTTCGGAGAAAATTTGTTTGCTTATAAAATTAGATTTGCCGTTGATAAAAAGAAAACAATTTTGGGGCAAGATTTCAAAATAACTACTGAAAAACTTTTGTGTCGTATATGGAAATTGTATGGCAGCATTTTTTTCAAAAAAAAATTCGAATCAGTTTTTTTTGTCACCACTCTGTTCAACTGTTCTCAAAAAGCCGCAGAAATGGTTTAATTTTTTACTGCAAGGTTAATTCAAAAATGATTTGAAAAAACTTTTGAACTAAAATGATTTGCAGTGAATGAATTGATCACAATCTCAACAAAATTTATTCAACCTAAATATGATTTTTATTTTGCTCAAGAAATATTCTGTGCTAATATTTACCAGTTTCTCCGCAAACTATTAAATATAAGAGAATCCTTTTTGAGCTTGCAATTCTTAGGTTTTCTGTGGTATGAAAAGTAAACGTATGCGAAATTGCTCCAAATTTATCATATTTATTATCAACATTTTAAGCCAAATGTTATTAGACAATTGAGCATAATACTGAGAAACTCAATTTGGGAAAACTCAATTTTTGTGCAGAAATTTTTATATTAGATATACTCATTCGTTTTTTTTTCAGTCCAAATATCAACACAAAAATTCTATCGAAATGCAATCGTAATATATTCTGTAAAGTTCGAGTTTTTGAGGTGAAATTAATCAATTTTTGAGTTAAAATTTTTTTTCACCTTAAAAAAGGGCCAATCAAAACTGTAATTGGTTGGTCGTAATAAGAGCAGTTTTGTTCTATTAGAAACATTCACCAATTATTATATTGCATTTTGCGAAGAAATTTTACTTCTCAAAGGTCTCTCGTAATTTTATCTA